AAACAGAAACAGAAACAGAAACAGAAACAGAAACAGAAACAGAAACAGAAACAGAAACAGAAACAGAAACCGAAACTGAAACCGAAAACAAAAACGAAATGGAACCTGAAACAGAAACATATACAGTTACAGAAACAGAAACCGAAGCAGAAACAGAAACATAAATAGAAACAGAATCAGAACCAGAAACAAAAACAGAGCAAGAAAGAGAAACATAAAAAAGGAACAGAACCATAAACAGAAGCAGAAACCATCCAGAAAAAAAAACAGAAACAGAACACAAAGCAGAAGCAGAAACAGATACAGAACCTGAAATAGAAATAGAAACAGAAACAAAAACAGAAGATGAACCAGAAACAAAATTAGAATCAGAATCAGAGCCAGAAACAAAAACAGATACAAAAACAGAAACAGAAACAAAAACGAAGACAGAAACAGAAACAGAAACAAAAACAAAAACAAAAACAGAAACAGAAACAGAAACAAATAGAGATATAGAAACAGAAACAAAAACAGAAACAAAAACGGAAATAGAATCAGAAACAGAACAAGAACCAGAAGGAGAAATAGAAACAGAAACAGAACCAGAAACAAAAACAGAGCAAGAAACAGATGTAGAAACAGAAACAGAAACAAAAACAGAAACAAAAACAGAAACAGAACCAGAAACAAAAACGGAAACATAAACAGAACCAGAAAAATAAACAAAAACAGAAACAGAAAACAAAACAGATACAGAAACAGAATCAGAATCAGAATCAAAAACACAAATATAAACAGAAAAAGAAAGCGAATCAGAAAACTAAATGTAACCAGAAAGAGAACCAGAAACAGAATCAGAAACAGAAACAAAAACAGAAACAGAACCAGAAACAAAAACAGAAACAGAACCAGAAAAATAAACAAAAACAGAAACAGAACACAAAACATATATAGAAACAGAAATAAAATTAGAACCAGAATCAAAAACACAAACATAAACAGAAACAGAAATCGAATTACAAAACTAAATGGAACCAGAACGGTCAGATGGAACTACTTAGATAAGACATATTTTGTCTATATCTGATCAGTCATCATAGATTTTGGCTTTTGGCATATAGAATAAGCAAGATAAAACCAGAGAGTTTTATCGACAAAGTGTTAAAGTTATATTATTACGAAATTACTCATAGCTCTAATGATGTCTATGATATCATATCAGCCCCTCTACTCTGTAGGCCAAATAGAATGATTAGCTGATTGCGTCATACTAAACTACATAATGAAGCTAAACGGTTGCATTTCAACGTGATTCAGTCGTAGTCTTCTAGTGTGATCAAAATGAATCTCTTCATGCACTTTAATAGGAATGAATGTTCTACCCTTACATTTAATATATTAGGTGCATAAAACTTGTTGTAATTTTTAGAAATATCTGCATTTAATATTTATTTTTAAATCAGTCAATGAATAATATTTACCGGATTAAATGAAGGTGCAATCAATTTATTTATAGATATTAAGTTTATAACAACTTTAGATAATGTTTTTTTGTTAAAATTATTTTAAGA